CTTTGACGCTGAGATCAGGTGCAGAGGTCCAGTGCATGGCAGAATCCCATTTTTTTGCTTAGCCTGATTCTTTTGGGAATAGTAGGAAGGCAAGAAATCATCATAAAGTCATGATTACCATGGCCCTGTTGATTGTCATGGAAGATGTAGTAGAAATAAACTCCTAAAGTGGAAGTATCTAGCTTACTACATCACTAAACTAATCATTAAAAATAATCGCTGTAGTAATAAAAATTAATAAAGTCTTGATTTTGTACAGTGATATCCATCACTAACACACCCCTATCCTGTGGAACCCATTAAAGCCAACTATTCTTTTGCTTCTCAATAATAGTGTCATTTTGTCACAATATTAGTGAAGCCTCAAAAGACAACTGATTCTACCACAAAACTGTTAGGAGGAAAAACATCAAATCAACTATTCATAACCCAGCACAATTTTTTAAAAATATATATTTCTTACTGATTTTAGAAAGGAAGGGAGAAGGAGAGAGAGATAGAAGCATCAATGATGAGAGAATCATTGATTTGGCTGCCTCCTGCACATCCCCTACTGGGGATCAGCCCGAAACCCAGGCACGCACCCTGACCTGGAACTGAACTATTTCATATGTCAATGCTCAAACATTGAACCATGCCAGCCAGGCAACCCAGAACATACTTTTTATGTATGTTTGTGCTCTAGGATGTCACAGGCTTATACGTGATGTCATACAAATTTTCGCACAAACCTCCTCATAAAAATCTTAAGGATATGAGACCTGGTCCTATCTCTGAGTACAACGGTGTTTAAGAGTATTTTTCAAAATGTTATCTAATCTAATAAAAGGAAAACATGCAAATTGACCATACCTTCACTATACCTTAAGCCACGCCCACAAGCCAATCAGAGCAACTATATGCTAATTAACCCAACCAAGATGGCGGCGGGCAGCCACGGAGCTGGAGAGAGAAGGAGGCTTGGTTGCTCCAGTGATGGAGGAAGCCAAGCTTCTTGCCTGCCGCGGCCGGCTCTGAGCTCCACTGAAGGCTACAAAGTTTCAATTATAGAAGGTAAATGAATCTCAGAATAAAAAAAAAAGAAAGATAAAAGGAGAGTCTGGGAGCTTCTGTCTCCGGAGGACTTGGTCAGCCTGAAAACGGCCCTTAGCCCCTCACCCGGGTTGGCCAAACATCCATGGGGTGAGGGTCCCCTCGGGGGTGGGGGGGCTTGACCCTCCTGCAAACAGCCATCAGCCCCTCACCGAGGCGGGCCAGGCACCCCAGCGGGAACCCCACCCTGATCCAGGACACCCTTTAGGGCAAACAAGCAGGCCCCGACCCATGCACCAGGGCTCTATCCTATATAATAAAAGGGTAATATTCAAATTGACCCTAACAGCAGAAAAACTGGGAATGACTGGTCACTATGACACATACCAACCACCAGGGGCCAGATGCTCAATGCAGGAGCTACCCCCTAGTGGTCAGTGTGCTCCCACAGAAGGAGTTCTGCACAGCCACAAGCCAGGCTGATGGCTGCCAGCACGGCAGTGGTGGTGAAAGCCTCTCCCGCCTCCTCAGCAACACTAAAAATGTCAGACTGCAGCTTAGGCCTGCTCCCTGCTGGCAAGTGGACATCCCCGAGGGCTCACGGACTGCCAAAGGTATGTGTGATTGCCAGCTTAGGCCCAATCCCCCCGAGGAGCAGACCTAAGTCAGCAGGTGGTCATCCCCCGAGGGGTCCCAGACCGCAAGAGGGCACAGGTCAGGCTGAGAGACCAACCACCGAGTGCACAAACTTTTGTGCACTGGGCCTCTAGTTGAGAAATAAAGGAAGACCGAGGGCCGATTCTGAAGTCCTACTTCTCAATGTAGTAGGTTTGTGGTTGTGGTTACTTTAGAAGAAAGAAGCAATAAATCAAAAACCTTTATAAACTCAAGCCTTCTGCAGTATGAATCATCCTAAAATTTGTGGGGGTTTTTAATCCTCACTGGAGGATTTTCCTTCCATTGATCTTTAGAGAGAGTGAAAGGAAATGAGGAGCAGGGAGAGAGAGAGAGAGAAAAACAACAACATTGCAGTCAACTAGTTGCCTCCCACACTTGCCCCAACTGATGTCAGAAATGAAACCTGCAACTGATGTACATGCTCTTGACCAGGAATTGAACCAGCGACCCTTTGGTCATAGATTGATGCCTTAACCACCAAGAAAAACCAGCAAGAGCAAATTTGTAAATTTTATTTAATCATTTCCATTTTCTCACCACCACCTGTTTGTTGTAGGTACTGTGGATTTTGGAAACAACTCCATTTCAGAAAAAGCCAAGAAGAGAAGAAGTAAGAATAAGATTTTATTTGCTTTTGATGTGAGAAATAAGTTTTATAATGCCAGTGTTTCATCTTTATTGTTATCCTATATAATAAAAGGGCAATATGCAAATTGACCAATGGGATCACTGGGAATGACTGGTTGCTATGATGTGCACTGACCACCAGGAGGCAGACGCTCCACAGGAGCTTCCCCCTGGTGGTCAGTGTGCTTCCACAAGGGGAGCTCCACTCAGCCACAAGCCAGACTGATGGCTGCAAGCACAGCGGCACTGACAGGAGCCTCTCTCACCACCTCAGCAGCGCTAAGAATGTCCGACTGCAGCTTAGGCCTGCTTCCCAGGTGGACATTTCCTCAGGGGCCCCGGACTGTGAGAGGGCACAGGCCGGGCTGAGGGACACCACCCCACCCCTCCAGGGCATGAAAATTCAATTATAATATTGTGGTAGGTAGAACAATGGCTCCTCAAAGATGTCCATGTCTTAATTCCTGAAACCTGTAATCTGTTCTCTTAAATGACAAGTGGGCCTTGCAGATTTAATTAAACTGGGACCTTAAAATGGGAGAGGTTATCTTGCATTAACAGGGTGGCCCTGGTACAGGCAAATAGATAGGGCCTACAGATTGAAGGGTCCCAGGTTCAATAACGGTCAAGGGTACATGTTGAGGTTATGGGCTTGATCCCCAGTGAGAGGCATGCAAGAGGCATCCAATCAATGATTCTCTCTCATCATTGATGTTTCTATCTCTCTCACCCTCTCCCTTCCTCTCTGAAATCAATAAAAGATTTTTTTAAAGAAGGAGGAAGGGAATAGGGAATGTGGGAGATCTTAACTATCTGTAATTCACACAACATTCACCACCTTGGGTATATGATGTGAGATAGTAATTACAAGAAATTGCCCCAACACTTTTACATGAATTGAAATGCCATTTCATGTGACTTTCCCTGTACTTATGGACCTGTGAATAGAATTCTACTCTGAAAAACTAGTCTATTTATAATTCAGTACAAAATTGGCTTAATTACAAAGGTTTAAAGTAAAATTTGCTTTTCCTACCCACTATATTTTCTGTTGCAAAAAAAAAAAAGGTACCTTGAGGAGAAATAGAAAAGACAAAGATTTCAGAAATTCAGTGATGTTGAACTTCTGTGCGTTCAGAATCTAATCAAGATTTTCTACTAAAACCTCCAAATTCCTTTGGGAATTTGAAAGTACAATGAATTTAAAGATAATTTGGAATAGAATTTAAGCATTTTAAAGGAGAATGACCTATGCATTTATTCAAGTCACCTTTTTTGTTCTTCAACAAAATTTTATAGCTTTCTTTCTATAGATTGTGCATGTTTTTACTTTCCCTGTCAGATTTGCTGAGATATAATTTATATACAATAGATTTCATCACTTTAAAGGTTTAATTGAATATGTTTTAACACATGTAGATAGTCATGTAAACCAACATGATCATGACATAGAACATTTCCATCATCCACAAATATCCATTTGTGTCCCTCTTTGCACCCCCGGGTCTTGAAAGAGTGGTTCTGTTTTTATCACTGTATTTTTTCCCAGGAATTTCATATAAATGAATTTATACAATATATAGTTTATTTATGTCTGTTCTTGTTTTACTAAGCATAATGCTGTTGAGACACACTGATATTGCTCTGTGTATCTGCAGTTACTCCATTTCTATTGCTGAGAAGTATTCCTTGTATGAATAAGCAACTGATTTATCTATTTACCTGTTCATAGGCAGTGAGGTATTTTCAGTTTGAAAAAAAA